CCACATTTACCTGTGTTGCAAAATTCCTGGAAATTTGCAATTCTGGAATGCCTGTCCCTAGCCTAAGACATGATGTACCTGCTCTGTACTGGTTACCTTCCAAACTCAAAGTAGTATAGTTGGTTTGGTCTGGCATTTAGCGTGCATCAAGAAGCACCTCATTCCACACTCCCTAGCACTGTATTGGGGTGACCCAGACATGTCTGCTGACTCCAATATGATTAGGTATGTGGTTAAAGTTATACATGACCCAATCTGCCAGCGTTAACTTTTATTTTCAAGCCTTTCTAAGTTCTTGATCTTTTTTTTTCTGTTACTAGTCTTGATAACTGTCATCCCAATAAATTATAAGCTCTGAATTTCATAAGCATTGTGTTATTCTCCTCTTCTAGACCTTTTAATGTAGTCATAAATCAGTCTGGACCTATCACTGATCATTGTAGCATCATATGAGACACTCACCTACAAAACCTCAAGCCATTGTCTGCCCCAGGCAAACTTCTTTCTGTATACCTCTGGGGTTAGGGTGCAGGGTACTTCTATGGGTAGCTCAAGGACCGGTTCATCCTGTCTCATAAACCTAATAGATAAAACTCACATAAATACTGGAAACAGCTGCTGTTGTTTATTATTATTGTTATTTATTATTATTATTACTATCAATGGTATGACTGAACTAACAGTTCCAAAGCAAATCTATTATTCCAGGTTGAGGTGCCTAAATTAAAACAATTAAAACCAGTCTTCACTTATATGCTGCTTACTAGCATGCTATTATTTGGAAAACTGATAGAATGAATATGTTGGAAGACACAGCTAATAAATTGAATAAAGTCCTGATTAAACTGGTTGGAGGCCCTGTCTTCTCTGTGAAATACATCTTATTCAGGAATTTAAAATGAAGCATGTCCTTTTAATGATAGTAAGCAATTAGGACAATATTGTTCCCAAAAGTTAGAATCCTTTCACAGTATTGTGTGTCAAGCTCAGTTAAAAAGCAGAAAAAGTGTTAGACAAAATAGAATCATTCTCCCTTGCTGAATTTAAAGACAGAAATTGTGATCATCACAGGCCTTTTCTCCCACTATTTTTAGCCAAATAATTTCTTCAAATAAATTAGTCTGCGAATTGTTTGAAAGCAGTTGAGTATGAATTTTAATTATTCAAATCCTTTTGATTAGACACATGGTTCTGTTTCCCTTTAGGATAAGCATAACTTTTAGAATGAGGTTTCTGGTGCAAATACTTGCAAGTATAAATATGCAAATAACTTTCTGAAATATTTTGTAATATTTCCTTTACATTTGATATTTTGGTAATCATTTCTGCCTCTGAATCCGTTTGCCTGAAAACAAATACAAATGGGTCAAAAATTCTATCAAAGTGAGTTCATTAAAATTTTTGCAAACACAATTGCAAATGTTTTAAGTAGTTCTCTAACTTGACCCAGGTTTCTTAGCAGCAGCCAGTGCTAAGAGAATAAACTCAGATTCAGGAACACATACCTACACAGAAAATATATTTAAACATATGCTTAAATGTCATCCCTATGAAACATAGTTTTCTAAACAGAGATGGATTAAAACAAATAAATTTAAGTACTTTCCTGAATCAGAGGACAGTCAATGGGAGTAAGATTTTCTTCCCCTCACTCTACATTGTAACTTGGAAACTATTTTGCTGAACTGATTTGTAACATTGAAAAAACCTGCATAAAAATGGTCTACATTCCAGAACATAAATGCAAAAGCATGTTTATCTAATATTTATTTGAAAACACATAGTTCATTATTTGCAAAGCATCAGCAAATTGATTTATCATTAGTGTATGTTGCTGAATTTACTTGAAGATGCTGGTTATATCTCTTTGAATTTTGTTTATGGCAAAGAAGAAATCTGTGTTGGCATTTTTAACTGCAGTTAATTTGAGTTGTGTAGCATATTTCTCATATTTTATTTGATCATTGAATCAGGGTCTACATTGTGCATGAGAGGTCAACACTGCAGATCCATCCAGGGAAAGGAATACAATTTCTTTACTTGCAGATTAAATATAGAAGTCAATGTAAAGGCCAATAAATTGAAGAAAAACAAAACAGAGATGTAGTTTCAAGGTCATATGCTTTCTGTATGTTTGAGCCTAGTGAAATCTGACATTGCCAGTCAGGGGAGTCCACCCAATTTTTTTTTATATACTTAGAGGTTAGGGACAGACATTACACATAAACAGGTTTAAGTGATCAGAAACTGGTTTAAACCTGAAACAAAACAGAAGTTCAGTGCACATAAACCAGGTTGAAAATGGCTGAAACCAGTTTGAGATGAACCTGGTTGAATGCAGTATCAGACTCAACTGATTTGGCTCAAACCGGTTTATGCAATGTCTGTCCCAGACCCTTTGCTGGTTTAATCTAAACTGGACTCCCCCAGCATCCTGGCATGCTCTCTGGGCTGAGAAGAGCTCTCTGCTGCACAGCAAAGCTGGCCCCTCCCCTCTGCTCCCTGGCTGGAGTTCCAGCAGAGACTTGCAGACAAAGTAACATCTGCCTGGCTTCCCTGCACCCCTCTCCTCCCTACCACGACCCACTGCTTAAACAGAGATGCCTTCCTCCTCTCTCCCACAGCACAGACTGTAGCCAGTGGTATGCTAGCTAATGCTGTGTAAGGCAGATAGGACAGTGTTTGCTTAGGGCTTTTTGGAGGTAATCAACAGCTCAGATGGTAATGTCCCTGCATTCATTCCTTTGGAAAAAGAAGACAAGTTTATTTGGGTAAAAATGATATCTCTTATTACACCGACTAAATACAGTAAAAGTTCTGTTAACTGGCATCTTACAAGCCAGCATGCTTGTAAGATAAAGTGAAATTGGAAGGGCCCACTGTGGGCACTTCCAGTGGGTACTTCCGGTTTCTCTCAGTCACCATGGCCCAGGGCAAAGCAGCCTGCACTGCCAAACCCCCGTGGCCCAGGGGCATAACAAGCTGTGTGGGGCTATGCAGGGCCTGCCTCCCTGTCCCGCGGGGCCCACAGGAGAGGCGGCAATGCAGCGGGAGGGGCAGCAAGATGCCACAGATACAGCAGAAGTGGTGGCCTGGGCCGATCAATTAACCAACATATTTTGTTATCTGGCATCCCCCATTCCCAGGGGATGCTGGATAACAGAGCTTTTACTGTATTTTGAAAAAAATTTCTTAGCAAGCTTTTGGATTTAAAAACCCTTTGTCAGGCTGAGGAAGCATCTGCAGTTGGTGTGTGCTCTTCCTGGATGGAATGAATAGTAGAAAAGCCAGACGCTGGTTCATATTTTCCTTTGGAAAAAGCTGTTTAAGAAGAGCTTGTAATGAGCGAGGCTTTGTTTTCTGATGGGGGTGTTAAATGCTGATAACAGAGCTGATAAATGCTCTGTTATTAAGGTGGGAGGGGACCCATCCCTAATCTCAGTGTCCTGCCAGAGCCTGGCAATGCCCCCCTCAGCTCAGTCCTGTGCAAGGGAAGGGAGGGCTGCTCTAGCACCCCCTGGCTTCTAGCCTAAGCTGCTGCAGGCATGTGCCTGCATTTCTGGGATGTCTGTTTGA